GGGGGGGTGAAGGTGAACTGATCTTGCGAGCCGGATCTAGGCCGCGGGTCGTTGTTTGGTAACCCTTGTTTCGGGGCATATCATGAGGGCCAAGTTGAATGCTTTATAAAATGCAAATCTATGATGAATCAAAAGATGGGGAATTTGCATTCCAGATCAGACCTGGCCTTTACGGGAATTAAGGATTGCACAGATGAGTAGGCGTCCATCATTGTTGTACTCTTCTTGTTATTTTAACTAATGGATTGTTTGCGCGTGCCGCTGCTTTTGGCAGTCGGGTAGGGCTACCTTCGCGTAATTCGGGGTGCCCATTGGGGGATCGGGTTGGGTCGGTTAGCTAGCCGAATTGGGCAACACAAAGCGGTTATCGTGGCACAAGCTGATCGAGCCCGACTGGTCGACTCAAAGACAGACGCGTTTGTTTTCAGGCGACAAGTCGGGCGATCATCCCTATCCGACCCTCCCGACCCGATCCCATCCGCAATAGGCACCCTGCTTTTTTAAAATCTTTCCTATTATTATTTGAAAAACGTAATCCTGATGTATGTTTTAGCTTTAGGTCCACTTTGACGTCAATTAAATCAGTTAAAGAGCAAGGAAGGTGATGAAAGGAGACAATTTCAGAGAACAAAATGTTCCGTCGCTGTTAGGTTTTGCACAGTACCTCTAGACAAAGAGACCCCCCGGCAGTCCTTCGAAAATTTAATTGTATTTTTCTATCAGCTTCCAAACTTTAAACTTTTATTTAAAGCTTATGTCTCCTTGCCGATTTTAGTCAGAAAGGGCTTTCTGGAATCGGACTTGCTGCAAAAAATATCTTGTCTGTTGTGCTCCTTTCTGTGAGGAAGTTACAATATGCTCTGACTTTCAGGCAAGGCGTCTTTGAAGGGAGATGCTTCAACACGCAGTTACGAATAATTCAGACCATGATCTTGCAGGCTATAGACAAAAAATATTGTTATGGCCTTGTGATTGTCACAATATTTCTTGTCACCTTTACATTTGTATTGCTTAGATCTACTACTGAATGAGAGGGAATGAGAGAAACGGGAGAGAGTGGGGAGAGCGAGAGAGAACAAGAGAGAGAGAAAGAGAGAGAGAGAGAGAGAGAGAGAGAGAGAGAGAGAGAGAGAGAGAGAGAGAGAGAGAGAGATAATAGTTGCACTTTGGGAATTCATTAAAATTGTGTATCTCTACTTCCTGATTGCCACGTGTTACAGAATAGTACTGTCAGTTCTGATAATGCCAGTGCTCGAACAAGAAGGTCGTTACCAAAAGCACACCTCCTACGATCCCGATTCGATTAAGATCCCGCAGTTTTAGTTTTCTAAATATCAAATTTTTATTACACAAAATTCACCCTTAATCTCCGAAGGTCTACCTCAGACTAAGATCCCCCGCTTTTCAGATCATAATTTACGGAACAAAAACCCGGGTGGGCACAAAAGATTAACCAAGAGTGAAAGTTTACGGTCACTGAACTGCCTGTTGCGTCACAGATCAGCCACCCTCGTGAATGTGATCCCACGTACGTCGTAAATCTTGATGGAATGGTATGATGTTTGCCACAGACGGGATCACACTGAGGTGTGAACTCACCGAGTTGATTATAGGGGCATTTTATCAGGGGGGCGGGGGGCAGGAAGATGTTTCTGTAGCCGATGGGAACACGGGTCGCTTGTCCGGTCCATTGTCACTAGTGCTTACATTTCATATGATAGGACCACTCTTTGACCTATTGAAAACAGTAACTTTGAAACTCATCTTTATTTTGCTTCCTTCCGTAGACCAACCCATCGGTGTAATAAGCACAGTCAGATAATGCCACCCCTTCCCACCCCTCCCGTGAAAATGACAACGATTCATGGAACTTTTCCCACCGTTGGCTATAGGATTTTCGGATTAGAACGGCAGGCATTGGTCAAACAAATTTCACACCTCTGGCCTCTGGCTACTCAGGAAAGTTTCGATGCTGGATGAACTCTTTTACAGGCCCTGGTGAGATTTCACACGCACAGCACCCTGGCGTTTGCACCTC